ATATACGAAATATATACTTAAGAATAGAGTTGTAAACGAGCCGAACAGAGCCGAGCTTGTCATGTTTGAGCTCGGCTCGTTAAGGACTTGAGCTAGATTCGTGTTCGTTCGTTAAGAGATACGAGCTGAAATTTTTGTTTGAACTCGGCTCGTTTAGCAATATTTTTGTTCGTATTCGGCTTGACTCGGCTCATTAAGAAATATTTTATTTTATTTATTTAATTTTTTAAAAAAAATTAAATTTAGTTAATAATAATTATAATTTTTATTAATAAATTTAAATAAAAAATAGAATGCAATATAATATTATAAAGATATACATTAAATATTAAATTATTAATTTAATTTTTCTAATAAATACTATCGAACGTTCGCGAACAAGCTCGAGCTCGTTCGTGAATATAACGAGCCAAAATTTATGTTCGTATTCGACTCGTTTAGCTTAACGAACGAGCTCTTAGCGAGCTCAAACAAGCCGAACTGAGCCGAGTTTGCGAACTGTTCGTTTGTTTTATAGCTCTACTTAATAATTTGTTGGAGTGCCCTAAAGAATCCTCTCTATTCTCCGATCGGTTTATCAAGTTGTCGTAAGATTAAAAATATTCACATTTTTTTTATACAACACATATAAAAATCGGTTTCGGGTTTGATTCGGTGGCGATTGTGATTTGAAATTGGCGGTTGAAAAAAAAAAAAAATTAAACTATTCACTCCATCTATTCATAATAATTAATTGTATCTAATTATAATGTATTATCATCTAATAATCAATTTATTAATTTTTCATTATTTTTTAATTTTTTTTTAAAAATATCCTATATTACTTTTTACATACTCATTTTAATATTAAAATATTAATATTTTATTATATCCTTAATTAAGAATATGTTTCTTATACACAAATATTTTAAAATTTACATTAAATTCTTCATTTTCTCACACAAAATATTTTATCAAATATTATTTTAATATCAATTCAAATAAACACACTTCAAATAAACCCAAGTAAATTTGCGGAGGACGACCGATGAGTAGAACTGGTAATGGATCGATTCATGTCTAGTTGAATAATTTAAACGGTTAAATAATTCAATTCTAATTCGACCCGTTTATTATCGTGTAGGGTTCATGTTGACCCGTGTATATATATAAGTCGAAATCCTTTATTCAAATTTAATTATTTTTTGTCATCTTGTTGTGTGTTATGTTAGTTTTTATTGGTTGTAGTATAATGTGTATAATGAATTACTTTGAATTATATAATATTGAACTTAATTTAAATTAAAATATGAACTATTTATTAAATTATAACTATTTTACATAATTCGATAAGTCTATTATCAGAGTTTGTGTCAAATAGTATACATAATGAGATTAAAATATTTGATCCAAACTTAATTATTTTGTATCGGTTTTGTATCAAGGTGTCATCTATCAGTTTTTGCAGATTCTAGCAAGGATTATGTATTTATAAAAGCCCGTACTATCATATTTATCTGAATATCGTTAAAGCCCATCAATTCTTTTGAAATATTACATAAGCCCATTATTATACTTGCACATGTTCTCCAAAACCCCAAACCTTAACGCCGTGTATGGTTGCCGGATAGTTCTGCCGCCGGTTGGAGTCGATTGAATTACCGGCTGGAATCCGGGAGAAATGGACGTCGACGCGAATGGAACGAACATAAACTCTCTGCGTATTTCCGCCGTGGACGAAGAGCAGGATGAAGACGAAATTCAACATAACGAGGTTGAAGATGAAGTCAGCGATGAAGAAGAAGATGGAACACTGGTGACGTTAGGTTTTGTGGAGAAGCCGAAAACATCGTGGTCGTTGCACCGCCAGTATTTCCCGAGCAAAGCTGGCGGCGCTCCGGTAATTCTACGCGCCTTGTACGGCGAGCTTTGTGATTGCTTAATTATCTGGCTCGTTAAATTTCTTTGCAATTAAACCCTAATTATCTTCGGAAAAATGTATTATTGTGTAATACTATGTGATTTAGGCATGGCTGGACCCCAAAAACTTGCCCTCCGGAAAGTCCATTTACTGTGATTTTTGCGAAGAACCTCTGCAGTTTGTACTTCAGGTCGAGTATGGAAAATCAATTTTCTGGAATTAGATTTGTTGCTCCTTTAAGATCCCTTCCGTATTAAGAATTTGCACTCTGTTTTAAATTTTAATATTTATGTTGATCTGTCGTAGGTTTATGTGCCATTAGGTGAGGAATCAACATTTCATAGGATATTGTATCTTTTCATGTGTCCTTCAATGGCCTGCCTTCTTCGTGATCAGCGTGAACAGTGGAAGCGGCGGTCGGATATTCCATCAAGAAGGTATTTCTTAGTGATTTGAGTCGACATGCCAACACGTCGATGCAATTAACCCATTTCTGATCCAAAAAATGGTTCTGAAGCGTCAAGATTTTCCGGTGCCAATTGCCGAGAGAGAATCCCTTTTATTCTAGTGTGGCACCACCCGAGGATGGGACTGCGCGACCATTGATCGATGGAGGTAATTAATTACTATGTAAAACATCTTAATACTTGCACAGCCAAGTTAAGTAATCCTTGATTCAGGGAATATTTTGTCATCTCGTCAGCATATTGTCTTTAAATTAATTCCAATTCTCTGCAAATTATTTCATTAACACAGCCTATTACTGATCTTGTTCTTCAATTCTTCGAGGAATTAGGATGTTCTTTATCGAGTTTGTTAGTGATTTCATTCATTGTATTATAATCAAAGACAGGAATATTATTTTTGTCCCTTGAAAATTGGGAATGGCATTATGCAAGTGTGTTGAATAATCATGTTAAGGAAGGGAATCCGAACTCCCATTGTTGACATTGAGAGAATTAAGGAGATGGACAAGTCAGTCTGCAATCATATTTCGTCGCTTAATGCTCTTTGTTTGCTATTGCAGCACCACTCTGCGATTGGTGCGGCACATGGAAAGGGGACAAGCTTTGTGGTAGCTGTAAGAGAGCACGTTATTGTTCGGGGAAGCATCAGGTACTTGTAAGCCCCTTCATTCCACAAGATATTGTTTTTTGGCGATTCATGCAATCAATGGAGTGCGTCTCTTTACAGGCTAGTCATTGGCGGTCCGATAGCTTAAGCCATAAAATCTCCTGTCGACAATTAAAGACATCAGATTTTTTCTACGATAGTATTAAAAAGCTCTAGTGTGTTGATTATAAGGGCTGTCATAATGTTTTTGGTAGATATCTATAAATTGTATGCTTATGTCCTTTCGATTATAGCTTTCTTGTCCGCAAACATTAAAGACGAGCATTTCGTCTGATTCAGCTCGATTTGATAATGGGCAAACAGCTGCCAGCAACACCCTTTTTCCGGAGTAAACGATCATCGATGAGGATGAGTGTGAAGATGATGAGGAAGAATTTAATGATACAAGATCTTCTAGCTCATTGATATCAAGAAGCCGCACGGATGGTTCTTACGGAAAATGGATGTCATATTTCGGGGTGAGTTTCTCATCTCCTGCCCGATAATCTTGTATTATTACATTAGTAAAAATGAAATTCCATCCTTTTGTATCTTACTGCGGAATAGGGGCACAACGATAATAAGAGTTGGGCTTCCTTCCAGGAGATAATATCTCGCGCTCCCGACCAAATCTTGAGACTGAACTGCAGGTGAGTTTCTGTTCCGGTGATCATTAATTTGTGGAGTCTTTTGATGCTCATTTACTTTTTCTCTGTTTAGATAAGTCTTGGAAATTTTAGAGAAAGTAAAAAATTGGGTATATAATATGACGTTTTGTCAGAAGAGAAAGGTAATGGGTAAATTGTTTTTTTTAGTCCTATAATTGGATCCCTTAATTATTTTAGTACTACAATTAGAATTTGTTGCAAATTAGTTTCGTAAGTAGAAAATTTTTGCAATTCTAGTCCTCCGACACCGGAGATGTCTACGTGGCACCTGCGTGACTCGTCGGAGGCCAATATACTATCTCCGTTCGGCTCTAAGGTCTCATTTATTTTTTACATGTTGATATTTAAATATTAATTATTATATCAAAACGTAGTACAAATTAAGAAGGAATTGCAAAAATTGTCTTATAATTCTAATAGAAAGATATTTGTACAAGATATTTTTAATGTTAAATACAATCACGCAAAAGGTAAATATGACCGTTAGTATATATTTTGTATTTTATGTATTTGGTCCAATTTTTTTTAACAAAAGACTATAAATTTAAAAAAATGAAAAATAAAAATAAGAAATTCATCTACCGGGTGTCGTTGACTTTGCGGACACTTGGCTTTCAGCCAGCCACGCAGGCATCTCCGGCGCCGAATGACTGAAACAGCAAAAATTTCACTTACACAACTAATTTGTAACAGACAAGCTCCAGTTACAAAAGTAAAATGATATCAGTTAGATTAAAAAACAGTTTACTCAAAAATATTTGATGTGAGTTTTAGTTTTATTAAGGAAAAGTTTCAAAAGTATTTATATAAACAGAACATTTGTTTCTTGTTTAAATTCATTATAGTCGAATTTAACATAGCAATGCAATTAATCGATTAGCAGGGACTCCAGCACAGGTCCGGCAAAGCCAATGTGGCCGGTGTCCAGTGGTCGACCATCAAGACTCGACATGCCTAAATGTAGTTATTGCGACAGCACCCGTGTTTTTGAGCTTCAGGTGTCGTAAGGCTTCCTTTACAATTGAACCTACTGTGTAACTAAATTGCCATTCGCGTGACGTGCACACATGTTTATGAATTGTCTCATTAGCAACAATCAAGCGATTCTTGTTGGACAAATCATTCTTTCAGGTTTTGCCGCAGCTGCTTTATTTCTTCCAAGTGGAAGATACCGAAGATTCTCCCGACTGGGCGACCATCGTCATATACACGTGCGATGCGTCGTGCCAAGGAGGCGCGGCGTAGAAAGACGAATTTGCTTGGGTTCTTCTTGCTTCTCAGTCCATACCAAACCAGTGATCAAGACATAAAGGTGTTTTTATTTTTGAGACACGCTCATTAAATTTTGGGATTTCATTACAAACATTCCCGATGATTACAATGCTGACTAGGATTAATCGGCATTATTCCGATAGCAAATGAATTGACAACACGTGATAATAGTCCACACAACATATAATATGATTGGATTGATTTCGGCACAATGATTGCAATGTGCTGATAGTTTATATTTTATATGTTACGAGCGTGATGCTGATTAATCCTCAATCCGCATTCTAATCATTTCCGTGTCTTAATAAAGAAAGTGAATGAAATGGATGAATTGAAATTGAATGTAAGAATAACAAAAATAACAATGAAAAGGAATCAATATTTTTCCATGTCCTTCCCCTTCACTACCAAAACTTTTCTGAACCAAATGACTCTTCACTGTACACAGGATGGAGAGTATCTATCGACGACAACAGAGAACGAACGAACTCGATCCATGCTCAACGAATGGCTCATAACACGGCAACCTGACGATCGAATCTCGAGAAGACGACATCACAACCGGACAAGTTTCGCAGCTCGGGGCAAGGCTCGGGTGTGACGTCAAAAGACGAGCCCGCAACGTATGCACACACCCAAGAAGATTCGACCGAGAACGACACATTCATCAGGCAAAACGGTGCAAACGGAGATTCGTCGAGCCCCGTCAAATTACCCGCCAAGGTAATATTTACCCCGACAATGTCCTCGAGAGTAATTTCCGTAACCACTGGCAGTGCATCGGGGTCGTATCCGTTGTCCGGATGGGATGAGCACTGCCCCGTCGCCTTGATTCCCACGCGAACGTTTTCCATGGAAACATTCGATACGAAGACATCCTTAACGTACCCGCCCCTTCCTTTTGCTGTCTTTAGCTCGATCCCAATGGCTGATTCGTACATGTGGAGATCCTCGGCAATGACCCCTGAGATCCCACCCGACATTTCGCTGCCGAAGGCCAAACTCGATCCCGAAGAGGATCGGAGACGAAGCTTCCGGACATGGACATCGCTGGTTGATTCGTTGTAAGAGATCCCGTATTCGTCCCAACCGCTTTTCAGCACGACGGCATCGTATCCTACGCTTATGTTGCTGCTCTCAATACAAACGTGCTTCGACGAATCTGAAGTTGTCGAAAAAAGACAGTAAGATCGTACAGACGGAAATCGAATATGAACAATTTCTCGATTTTAGGGCAGACCTGGAACGACACCGCTCGTACGAGGAGAGTCCGGTGGAGTGTAGACAGTGATGTTCTGTACTAACAATTTACTGCAGAAGACAACACAAACTATAATGACACAAACCCGGTTAAGATTGCTTGAAATTTGTCGAAGGCTACCTGCAATTAACCGGGTGGATGTTAAAAGCCGGGGCGTTCAAAAACGTCAAGTTCGACACAACAATGTTGTCCGAACCGACGAGTTCGACTAGATGCGGCCGGCTATGGTTCAAATTCCCAACGTTCAGCTGCGCCCACCAGACCAAACCCCGTCCATCGATAGTCCCGTTATTACCTGCGTGCATCGAGCATCAATAAAACAACACGAGCAAGATGGATAGAGTCGATAAAAATGTGCTCACCTGTAATGACAACATCGGTCAAATTTGTGCCGGTGATTAAGCTGCGATATCTTCGACTAGGTAACTTGAGGGTGCTGCCGTAAGAGGGCAACGGATCGACAACATCCCAGCTCTCGTAATCCTGCAAGAAGCACCGTCGTTATTACACAACGATGTCTGAATTCTGACAAAAATGGGCGACGGCTGTCATCGGGAAACCTCGGAGGCGAGAATGGTGGCATCTTTTTCCAAGAAGAGAGTGAGATGGCTTGTAAGAATTAGGCATCCGGTGAGCCATTCGCCTTTGGGGACGTAGAGCTGCGCGCCGCCCTTGTCGGAGAATGATTGGAGGTAGAAAACGGCGTTCTGAAAGGCGACGGTGTTGAGAGTTTTCCCGTCGCCGATTGCGCCGAATTCAGTGACGGTAACACTGTGTGGCCGGGGGGTTAAAGGCCAGTTCGATTTGCAGACTCCATTGTTGTTGTAGTCTTCTTCAGCATTGCTTAGTACCATCATCAAAAGCAGCAAAATTACCTGAGATAATGTAAGGACTAATAATGTCACACTCTTTTAGGGACAATCATGTGTTTTTTTGTAAGAAATTCCTAACGAAATCCCGACATATATATGGATTTGGTATATGTTAAGATAATAGAAATATAGATATAAGGTGATAGTATGTCAGAATAGTTGGTACATTACACACACATTTCTCAATTACTAATCGAAAATCACTAAACAAACACACCCACCCTTGTTATTAACTTAAGAGAAATAAGCAATGAGGAAAAACTAGAGATCTAGAGAGCAAAGAATTGTAAGAAATTAACAGAGTAATGTCTGTGAATAGATGGATTCAGCAAAACCACAACAGATCAACTGACTTAATAATTCATAGCCAAATCTCAAGTAAACTAATAAATTATAAGAGGGAAAGGGAAAAAGCTTCAAGAACAAGAACCGAATTGAATGACAAGATTAGCAGATGCCCAGAAAGAAAGAAAAATAAGGAAGTCAAGATAGTGTCTGAAAATTAAACTTGATATGAAAAGAAGATGAAGTAAAAGTTTAAGAAGATCGATCATCAAAACAATACAAGGATTAACGTACTTACTAGCCTCTTCATCTTCATCTTCATCTTCATCTTCATCTGGATACTTTTTGGAGAGGAGTCGGTGTGCATTCAAAGCCCCTTTGACTGTAATTGTAATTGGAATTTTGAGAATTGAATTGGAAGGAGAAACCACCCAATACCAAATAATAATTAAGAGGATCGATGGATGGAGGAAAACCAAAAAACACAAACAAACAGATACTTAAAGTGTGTTTGTATGGAGATTTGAATTTTGGATTGAGATTTGAATAGTAAAAAATTTAAATTGTAATAATTATATAATGTGATATAAATACATATTTTGAAAATAAAATTAATTTTTAATATAACATAAAAATAAATAAATAAATATTTAATTTGATATTTTTTTAAAAAAAAAATTTATTGCGAATAACATGAATCCACCGAAATCCTTCGAACAAACAAACACACTCTTGGTTTGTTCTTGAAATCATTATTATTATTATTATTATTATTATTATTACTGACATTTGTATGGAAAATACTGAAGAAAAAACTTATGAGAGAGATTTTGTTATTATTATTATTTTTGTTATTAATCACCCTAACGAATTAATCTTCAACGGGTATTTGCCGACACTGAAATAACGGCAAATTTCTTCTTCCTCTACCTTTTCCCACAGTTTTGTTTTATTTGTGTGTAATAATAATAATAATAATAATAATGAATGAATGGGCAACAAACCTTAAAAACAAGAGCGTGAGAGACAGAACTATGTAGATGGTTTGGTAGTGTAAAATAGACTAGCTCATGTCTCTTCAGTTTTCGTCTTATCGAATTTTGTTTGCAAATTATTATTTAAAAGAAAAAAAGAAAAACTAAGATTACATTATTGTAGTTTTGTCATAGATTTTTATTATTTAATTTTTTTTTCTTAAAAGATATTAAATCAAACAATTATTATTTTTTTATATAAATTATACTACAAATTTATTTGAATGACATCAACTTCTATTTATGTTACATCAAACAATTATTTAAATTTAATTTTTTACTATTTAAAAATCCAAACTTAAAAACTAAAACACACGAACAAACACACCTAAGAAACTTAGATCCTTTTAAAATCTTTTACTTTCACTGTCCAGTAAAAGTACATAAGTTTGGTCGAATACAAACAAGATAAGAATATTATAAAAAATTAATTAAATAATTGATAAAGATAATATAATAAGTAGAAAGCAATAGTTATTATGGTAATATTGTACGAAATTCACTTGTGACTTTTTCAAAAACTGCGATAGAATTTTCGTGATTTCATAAACTTTGGCGTCTAACTTCCTCAGTCGTTCTCATTATTTAACCGTATTTGATTTACACGCACAAAAAGTGTTAATAAGCTTCAAAATCTCTATTTCTAAACTTTTGAAATGACAAAATACTTATTTTTTTATATTTAGCTTTAAGAAATAGTAAAATATACTCAAAAACAATTATTTCATCTGATTTTAAAATTTTTCATAGTGTTTCTTGATGTTTAATATAAAAAAATAAATATATTTTAAATTTTAAGAATTTATAAATGAAGATTCTAAAACCGCAGACTAAACACCCGTTGACTGACTGATGAGGTTAGATCCAGAGTTTATAAAATCACGAAGGAGTTTAACGTAGTTTTGAAAGTATGAAAAAATTGGTGTAATTTCATGAAATCGCAAATGAATTTTGTATAATTTTACTGTTATTATTTGTTAAAATATAATTAATAAAATTATTTAATCTTTTTTTTTTTATGTATAAGTTAATCTACTACTGTATATATTTGGGAACCGTTAACATGTAATTACGTGTGATTTTTAATTTTTTTTTTCAAATATATTTATGTGGAGCCCCTACTTAAAAAAAATATTACTGTTGTTATAGTATATTATTATTATTATTATTATTATTATTATATATTTTGTCTTTTTTGGTATTTTTATATTTTGAGAATTGCGAGCGTGTTTGTTTATGAAATTTTATTCTTAAAGTTTGAATTTTAAATGATAAAATTTTGAATTCAAATATATTTAACGCAAAATCAAAATTTGATGTAATATAATAAATAAAAAATTAAATATTTGATTTGATGTTTAAAAAAATTGAAATAATAAAATCTCATCAAAACTTACAAACAAACAAACTCTATATTTTAAAATTAAAATAATTATTTGATATAATATACTTATTCATCATGTAAAAGTAGGTTTATTTAATTTTGGCATCGATTCTAATAGAGCATGTTCTTTTTTTTTTTTCTTTTATAGTAAAAAAAAATAGTTAAAAATAATAATAAAAAAAAGGTAATATGATGGTTTAGTAGAAAAGAAAAAAATTATTATCTATGTCCGGCTGTTAAGATCTCATTTACTTTGTACGTGTTGATATTTGAATATTAAATATTATATGAAAATATAGTACAAAACAAGAAAAAATAGTAAGAATAGTTATATTAATGTCTTATAATATTATTATAATGATATTTGTGCAAAAAAATTATACAAATATAAAGATATTTTTAATGTTAAGTACAATGACGCAAAAGGTAAATGAAACCTTTAGTGCCGGATGGAATACAAATTTTCTTATGGAAAAACAAATAAGAAGAATGGAGTATTTTTTCGGACAATTGGTCTACCCTCCCTACAGGTAGTGTTCAATTATAATTCAGTTCCTATTTTAAAACAATTGGTCTGCACTCCCTCCTTTACATATTTAGTTTAATATTAGTCCATGTTTTAGATTTTCTCAAATAAAAATTGAATGTACCTTTAGAATATCTTTAAATGCTTCCAAATTTATTTTATATACTTACAACACATTCTGTTTAAATTTGTCCACGTAGCTCCGAATCTTCGGTTTACCAGTTTTCGAACCTCTTGTTACGGTTTATATATTTGTCAAAGTGCAAACTGCTGGTTCAAACCGCCGGTTTACGGTTTCAACCGACGGTTTGGCCATTATTTTTTTCTTTTTAATTTTAAACCTGCACGCCGGCTGCGATTGTGGATTATAGAATGTTATGGGCGGGCGGCGACAGTGAAGAAGAAGCAGGAGGAAAGAAGAAAAAAAAAATGAAAAAGAAGAAAATACAAAAAAAAAAACGAAAAACGAACCCTTGCAACTGTAGCTGCGGTGGAACGTGGAGAGTGGATGTTCTAAATTAAAATTGTATATTATATACTTGTAATTGAAATTACTATATATCATTAAATTGTTATAAAAATAAAGATAATATTAATGTTAATAAAAATAAATAATTATTAATTATATAATAATAATATACATTATTTTGGTTATTTATATTTTATATTTTGTATTTCTTATCATACAATTATATTTAATTGAAACTATCTTATTATCTAATACACATCAATTTCTTAAAATTTAATTTTGTTTATTTTAATTTAAAATTTAATTTGATTTAATTACTTAGTAAATTTATTATTTTAATTACTTTTATATTGTAACAATCTTAGCAATTATTATTTATATGATTTTACATAATAAATAAATAATAAATATATCTGAATGAAATTAAAATCGAAAATAATATTTTTGAATAAATTTTTAAATTTAGAAAAACTTAAAAAGGAAAAAAAATATTAAAAATGAATGTACATAAATCGACGGTTCAAACCGTAACCGTCAGTTTTTTAAACCGCAATCGAAACCGGTCATTCAGAAGGTTTGGTTTCGGTTTGACATTTTGATAAACCGTAACCGACGGTTTGAACTGTTTTGGTATACCTGATATAACCAGGTTGGAGGTACAACATAGCTGCTCTAGAATACTCACCTGCTTAGCCGAGTCATACCCTATGCTTAGATGCTCTTGACCAAAAATTGTTGTGTGCGCTACGGTGTGAATTAATATGTAATAGATCTAAATATTTTCAATTTGTGATAGCAATCATGTACTCTAACGACCAATATAATTCAATTTAGTCACTTATGACTTTATTAGACATCTACTAGTTGAGGTTGGACTATAATAGTACATATATCATACAACCTATCCAAGTTATTTTTTACTTGGTTAACCATTCATAATAAATATGTGTTGTTTACCTTTTCTGACAATTTGAGGTGTCACAGGAAGATTATGATAATGATCGCATCCTTAGTTACCGTCATCAAATGAATATTTTGAACAAAAAATTATTGTTCTCCAACCACATGTTATTGGAGCATATATACTCTTTACTAAAGCATATGAGACTATTATTATAAGTAGTTAAGATCCGCGCTAAGGTATGTCGATATTTTATGTAGGTACATAAGAATGTGATCTGGGTACAAACACCTACATGCGAGGTATAAATAATGGTTTCTTAGGTATTATTTGTGTATTATCAGGTATCTTCAAGTGTAGTTAATTTCAGTTATTTTTATGGAGAGGGCCAATTCGCATACTTTGTGAGAACACTTCCTCTCTCAGCCTTGGTGAACTAAATGTTGTTGTGTGTGTTACGGTGTGGATTACTACGCAATATGTCTAAAAAATAACCAATTTGTGAGAGTAGTAATGCATGAGTAACAACCAACAAACTTAACAACGTCATTTCTTACTTGTTTGGTCATCTATAGTAAACATGTGTTCTTTTCTTTACTTACATGTCAGGGAGTCGTGAGAACACAATAATGATGAATTTATCTCTGGTTACTAAGAGCAATTGAATATGTTGAACCGAACACGATCCATTTTTCCTACCATATATAACCAGAGCATATATACGCGTTAGCGGAGCATATGACTTTATATTGCAAGTACATAACACTTACACAATATCCTCGAGGTACAAACACCGGTAGTCAATATATAATTTGTGGTTAATTAAATATTATATTTATATAGCTGTAGGTATTTTAAAATGTAGTTGCTATCAATCAATTTCCCAACGAAGAAGACAATTAAATCACTCTGTGATACCACTACCTCTATCAGTGGGGTATATGCATGAATGTTAAACTGATATATGCATAAATGTTAAAATGGTATATGCATAAATATTTAGAATGTGTATTTAAATAATTTATTTTTTATATATTTACTTTTTAGGTGTATTGTTATAATTAGAATTGTTGAATAAGAAAAAAAAATTGATTCTATCTGTTTTTATTAATTCTTTTAAAAAATTAATTTAC